GAAATAGAAATAAATAAGAACAACCACCAGATTCGTCCTACGTGTTATCGTGCTTCTCGAGTGGTGTACCTTAATCATGAATACTCACACCGTATTTCAATAAAATTGGATCGAAAATATGTGGAAGTAGGGTGCGAATGATCCAACTGGGCATGTACAGTCAACTCTGGCGAGGGTGCATAGCTATAGACTGGAAGAGCCAGTTGATCGACTCCTGTACAAGCAAGCTAGCAATTTCTTATTTGATCTAACGTCGACTTCTGGCAGTCGCCAGATAGGCACTGGCGCGCAGTAATCGGGCTAATACCAATGCAGACCTTGTTAGGAAATGCCACACCTAGTCACAGTATAGTTGTGGATCTTACAAATCCTTAACATGCAGCATAACTCTTCTAAGCTGCACATCGAATTTGAGCGAGAAACACCACTGTAAAACAGATCAGTCACTGTTGAACCAAGGTAGAAACACTGGTGGTAGAGATCACATCCTGCTCAAACGGTGGTTCTTGCTGGTTCGTATCTCTATCATACTCCCACTCTTAGCAGAGCATTGTTCGCCACTCCCCCCCCCCACCCCCCCCCCCACTCCCCCTGAAGTGCATAACTTCAATCCAAAAAGATATCAAATCCTCAGAAATTGTTTGATTGACGCGATATTTAGGGAAAAGCAGCAGGGATAAGGAATTAATCTTTGATAAGGCCAGAACAGAAAGATGAAGGAAGTAACCTCATCAATCACCCGAGCATCTTTCTGAAACTTTGCCGAAGGTCTTGGAGGTTCATAGCCTATAATTGAGCGCTACAAGGGCCCACAGCACAAGTTGAGTCTAATTGTGGAAGTTTTGGCATTAGGCACGTTTGGTTGAAATTTTAGGTAAGAGATCTGTGCCTCAGACAATTATGGAAAACGTATCTGTTAGATGAAGGAGTGGCGCAGCCTGGTATGGCCAAACAACTCTCTCTGTCAACTATTTTGACTAGATATTGCTTTCCGAGGTTCTCGGCCTCAAGGTTCAATGTAGCGGTTCGAGAAACGCTTTTGACTGGTACACTGGATACAGTATGAATGGGGTTGTCATGAGGCCTCCTCATTCGTTCAATGTTAAATCTATTAGGAAAACTATACCACTTTGCCTTAATACGAGGCACGTTCCATATTGGCTTGCAAAGCCATGACAAGCCCTACTGCTACAAAATTTGTTTTGTTCCATCAACCGTAATAAGTACTGCCAGGTATTGGTGGCTATGCTAGTTTCTGCTCAATTATCAACCGCAGGTCAGTTTTATCTTATGGTAATGTTTATTCTGGGCTGAACAAGTTAAAGACCATCGTTTTGATTGAACTTGGAAAAAGTTAGTGCTTCTGCTTGACCTCGCCAGAACAAGACTTGTCGAGTTCACGAGATGAACAGTGGTATATACGGAACGGACTCTCGAATTTTGTAGTCCAGATCTACCAGGTCGTCGTCTAGAAATAGAACAACAGAAGTATTATACTTGTCGTTTCTCAAAAAGTACTAGAACCTCCAGATAATACTCTGGGTAATATTAAACGCAACATCAAGTTGCACTGTTTATTTTACTGCCGGTGCCTCCAACGTGCACTGACAATAATAACCAGGATCCGGCTTGCCACACATGGAGAAATTAAATAAACAAAAACCCCACTGTGTTAAACCAGTTTCCATTTATTGGGTGCAATGCACCCTGCACCCAGTAATTTTATCAATACCCTATTGATAAAATATTCCTTGGGTCGTCACACCTGGCTTCAGCGCTCAGATCTAATTACGGAACCCCTTCGCACTGAGTCCTGTCCGCAGGGAGCGCACGAAGCTTGGAACCAGATCGCTGATCGCCGTGCTGCAGGACCACGCGGGAGCAGCTCACACATACCTGTAATTGTCGCTGCAGGCAGATCGTCTGTCTCGCATGTGCGGGCACGTTCGTGGTAGGGCAAGTTGCTGGAACTCCGTCACTTGCAGCGGCCCTTTACCATATCCAGATATCTTAAATATATATAATCCCGAAGGGTTCTTTGCGCACTAGTTTGGATAGATGGGGCTCTGGGATTATCCTTCAACATCAATTCTCCGAGTGTGGCATGTGGTTTGATCAACTTCTAGATCGGCAGTCCAGGTTAGTGGGCGGTGTTGTTTTCAGAGCTTCAAGCATCAAGATGCCATGTAGGGTTAGGAAGCATGGAGTTTGAAACAGGAAGCAGGTTATCAACTTTCCAATGGGCGGTGTTTCTGTTTTAAGAGCTTCAAGCATCAAGATGCTATGTAGGTTTCAGAGCTTCAAGCATCAAGATGCGATGTAGGGTTAGGAAGCAGGGAGCTTGAAACATGAAGCAGGTTGGTTTTATGGCGTTTTGTTTTATCTCTTTTTGGGGCGATTTGAACTACTACGAATCCAACCTGATCAAGTGTTCAATCAACCAGGTGGTACCTCTTCTACTATCTTGCTTTTGATTGATTAACTTTCACAGAAGCACTAAAGATCATACTTATTTGGTTTAGTTTAAATACGATTGATTTAATAGAGCAATTTAGCTTCTGTTCTTGGTGATATGCTATCTCACAATGGTTAGTTGAAATCTTTTGCAATACATTTGAATTCTATCTCTTCATTTAGAGAATCCGTTTTCTTCCACTTGCTTATATTAGTACGCTTGTTTTATTTGCCATGCCCATGTTATCACATTGTGATGCTTACAGCTGGTAGGTTTCTTTTGACAAGAAAATAGTCAAATCAACTTTGGAAAATACTAGAGTGTGCATCTTGATTTCTCTTATTCAAAGAGTATTTAGTCTATAGGATGAATAAGATGCTATTTAGATTTTTGATGGTGTTCATGGTGCTATTTAGATTTTTCAAAGTAGTTGATGTGGGAAGAAAGAGAATCTTTTTGTTTACAGTTGAACAAGAAAGTCTATGTTGATTGATATATTACTTGGAAAGAATGGTATAAGTTTATGTTGTGTGAGAAATATTTTCAATTATTGTTTAAAAGTGTAGATTTAGTTTTCATTTCACAATCAATGCTAATGATTTGAACAAATTGAAGAATTCTACTATTTTTTATAATAAATTACATGTTATAGTAAAAATGTCAATTTGTATTTGTAAATTTAAAAATTAATCCACATTGTGAAGTTTGAAGCTTTATAATACATATATATATATATATATATATATATCATTCAAAATTAAATATACAATTTCTTACAAATATGAACAATAAAAAGTTGACAGATTATTATTAATAAATTTTGAGTACAAATTGTAGTTACAAAATTGATTTTGTTAGATGGAAATATGCACGAACACAATGACTCTTAGATGATTGAAAAAAATTACATCGATTCATGATGATAGTTTAAATTTCTCCTTCAAATTTTCGAATCTAAGATAAAAAAAAATATTCAAATTTTTACTTTGGTAATCTTATTTTTTTTTTCTATATTTGCAAACAAGATAGACGTATTAATTAATGCATTATATTATCAATTGTGGTGTACTTATAATTTTTTAATGAAATAGATCTTATAATATATATATATATATATATATATATATTGAAACTAAGAATCTTAGTATCAACCAATGGTTTTCTAAATTTTGTGTATAAAAGTAAATTTTTATTCTAATTGGATGGATACACATGTTCTGTTCAACGTTATATATACACATCACATGTATGTATGTATATGTGTCTAAATTTAGAAATATTCTAAAAAGAGCATACTATCCAGAAGCAGTTAAGATTTTATTCCTATCTAAACATCAGGTTTTTTAATTTAAAAAGGAAAAGATATTCATAAGTTCATAATATCTCCTACTATTTGTGCCTCTTGAATAGACCTGAATCCTTATTATTTTGTGTATCCATTTCCACTTGGCTTAAATAAATTGGTTCAATCTCATGACATCAATTGACTAGTTAAATACATGAAGTAGTTTATCCAAATAACAAAATCAAGTTTGCATTATCACTCTCTTAATGTTCTTGTGAAATGGTCAATTATTCTCATTCACGGTATATATATATATATATATATATTTGAATTAAGAAATAAAATTTATATCAATGTCTTGATTTTCATTAAGATTTTGATATATAATTTCCATTTTTGTGAGCCTTGGTTACATTATAAGACTCTGGTTCAACATTATAAGGATTTATTTCTTTTTTTCTTTATTTCTTATTCTGTAATTTTCTTTTCTGTTCTTGCTGCTTTCACTCTTTTGTAGGTGTGAATCCCTTTTATGAGGAGAATCAAAAGATAGAAAAAGAACAAATTATTAACAGAATTGTTTGTAATTTTGTTTACTTGTATGAGATTTAAAAAAAAAAAAAAAAAAAAAAAAAAAAACATTGACACATAGAATTAGATTCTTTTGGCATTAGAAAATTTTCAAAAAGTGATTGGGAATTGGAGCTGAATTATGTGCTCTGATCTTCACTCAAAGGAAAATAAAATACAAGTACTAATCTGAAATGAAAATGGAAAGGAACTGTGGAGATGTGAATTGACCAGATTGTTACACCTTGTGCCATTGACCAAGCACATGCATAAATATTCCTTTTAGCCAAGTTGCAGAAATATTTTGTTTTTACAAAAAATACTTGAACAGTGAATACACATCTGATAATTACATTGACCACATTATTTTGCATCCTGGTTGCTCTGTTATCATCATTTCAACGATACTACAATTTTTCAACGTCCGGTTATTAAAAACATCCACAATAACCAATTACTTCTGCAAACGATTGGTGCTGCTGTCGACTTCATGTGCTCATTATTGTATGCCAAGTATAATATTTATGCAATATTATTTTATGAAAATCCATTCATGTGTATTTCATACTAAGAATAAACCCACTTGTGATTCCTAATATTTTTCATTTTTTCATGTTATGATACAGTCATGTTGAAGCTTCGTGAGTATCAAAGCCCCATGATGCGCCATTTTCTGTCACAGACAATAAATAAATAAGAAAAAATAAATGAAACAAAATTACAACCCCGAGTTCTAGGTTACAGACACTGCCAAAATTGTAGTAGAAGTTGCTTCTGCAGTGAAAGATCAACCCAACAGTTCACTGTGGTGATCACCACATAACTGACTAACTAGCTAGCTACAGCATATTTATGTATTCATATACATATATATATATATATATATATATATACAGTCATATCTTGAATTTCTGAGGGTGCTTGGATCTATGCACCCACCTTTCCACACACGGATTGGAAGAGAATGTTTTCTCCTGAAACTGATTTCTCGAAGGAGTTAAGAGCCATGGCTCTAGTGTAGAAACAGAACTAGAATCTAGGAGAAAGAGAAGAAGAAAAAGTTAAGTTCACCTACACTAACTGGCAACACAGCCAGTAGCTAGCTATCAGACTGTAACATGAGAAATTACAGTTTCTGGTAATGCTAATTGCAACTTTTCCATGGCTTATCAGCAGAGTTTCTACTGCATTGGAGGGAGACGAAACCTAGTGTCAGCTTCTCTTGATCTGCACACTGCTTCGTCCTGAAATCCAACACAATGTAAGCTTGTGAACACGTTTGTCGCTGTCGAAGGAGCAAATCTGAATGAAAAGAGAAGCACTGAGAAGAGCCACTCTCCTGTGGGCGAGGAAATCTGCATATTACAGATGCGTTGTACATAAGATGGAGACTGGAACACTTCTCCAGGGAACGTTTTCTTTGAAGCACCCATACTTCACGCAAGCAGCATCATGTTGATGTGGGTCCGCATTCGTGTATACATTTCCTCTCCTAAAACTTGAATCGAGAGATGAAGCTTGGACTAAGCCCAAGGAGTTCCGTGGACTTGGTAACGGCTGAAAGGTAAATATTCAGATGGACCGAGAACTGTCACAATGTACCTATTTCAAATTGGAGACGAGTTGTATTCATATCCCAGTTCTAAGCATCTTAAGAATCGCCTCTCAAGTGCTGACAGGCTACTTTTAATCAGGACGACATTCACTTCATAAGTACAGTTTCGACAAACTTTCAGCTGGCCACGCAACTCCCCAAAAACCTATAGATCTAGTTTCTCCATTCAGCGTGGCCTAGATCCGCAGGTAATCGAGTTGCTAACCACCTCGGAAGTTAGAATAGCAAACAACCCTAAGAAAAGCATCGCTTTTCTCAAGCTGGTGCATCCAAAAGTCTTGGCGTAGATATCACGTGAAACATCCTAGATCTGTGCCAACTGCATGTCCTACATGCACGACATACTTGAAACTGGCATCATCTTCAAATCTGACAAGGCAGTGTAGTATATTTATCTGCAAGGGTCAGGGTGCAATGAATTAACACCTGACCACCATGAGGAAGAGAATCTGAAATGCAAATAAAGAGTAGAAAAAACATTTTGCCACGATCATCAGTATCTACAGTAGGTTTCAACGACCCTGCGAATGAGCCAATAAGCTGGGATCATCAATTCGGATGCTCTTGACACCCAACTCTAGCAGGTAATTGTAGTATACAGTTAATTTAGGTGATTTCTGTGGAGGTTACTTGAGAGCAAGCCCTTGCTGCAGATGTTCCCCTATTCATTGCAAGTGAGTGTAACGTTGCATCTTTGATGTGCTCGCGATAAGTTACTTTTACCACCTTTAAACGCTTACAACCACTTGCAATTGCTGCAACTCGTTGATCTCCGATGCCCACTGATCTGAAAGTACCAATACATCTGAAAATCTGAAAGATCTGAAGGTCAGGTATGTGGACTGAAAATCTCGAAACCAAGAGAAGTAAAGCATTGCAACAGTTGACTGATACCCATGTACCAACTACTGATTGAGTGAACACTGACCTTAAAGAAAGACACCAGAACAGAAAATGATTGCAGGCCTCAAGACCTTTTTTGGGATTATTGTGACCCTAGCGTTAGTTTCCACGGTGCATCAAAAATCCTGAACAAAGAAGTAAAGAATGTTGATACCTTGAAGACATTTGTAACCCAACTTCACATGAGGATGGCTAGCAATTATTCAAAACACGACTATTAGTAGAAACAAGATTCATGAGTCTTACAAATCAATAACAGCATCAGTCCCTACCAATCAAACCCGTGAGAACCCACCCCCGCTGGTGTGAGACAAACCTGCAGCAGTCGAATTCCCGTAGGTTCTCACAATCAGCACTGCTGTGCATCAGTTCGAAGCTTGTAACGTCAATGCAGTCTCCAACTTCGATGGTCTTCATTCAGTGCACCTAGGGATACACATCAACCCTGCCAAACACAGCACCTAGCTTTAACCGTCATCACAAAACAGATCCTTAAGTTTTGGGAGTTGGATAATTGCACACCATGGTGAAATCGTAGAGAAAATTATGCATGAAATCTCTATTACGTCATAACAACGTAATCTAACTTTACACACCTACGTAAGAAGATTTGAGTCGTTCAAGTGCCATAGTGAGCAGTATTGCCAGCACCAATCCACACCTGTTGCTCCATCATACGTTATGAATGCATGGCTCCCGATACTGCAGCAAGAACACAAAGACAAGTTTATTGAGCAAGTCAGAAGTTTTGTGGTGCTATAGCTGCACATGTGATCTAGCTGCAACATGACAGATCTAACAACTGCAGGCCAGTGCAAGCTGTTACAACTCCCAGAACCCAACATCCATCCCACCCTATCACTTGCTCAAACTGAGCTCCTCGAATTTTTCAGTGGCTGAAGACTACTCAACAGGACGCTGCTTACGAGTCAACCACCGGCATTAATCAACCGATGTGAGTGAAAGACTTCTCATATACCAACGCAGTCAATATTCACTTTCAAGTTTCGAAAGCCATCAGGAGATATTTAGTGGTTGAAGAATTGAGTCCTAGGATTTGTACATCATAAAATAAAACAGTTGAAACTAAAAAGGTTTACAGTATGAATAGTAATAAAACCATAAAGAACTTTCTGAACGGACTACCACTTACAGCTTCTGGGATGGGAGCTTGAGCTGTCGGAGTTGCACTAAGCTGTATGCCAAGACAATGATACCGTAACATTTCACATTTTAGCACCATGTCATGTACAATTTCTGTAGAAGGCAACAGACGGGATACGGATACCAAAGCTCAGGCATTATTGTAAATTTCAGGTGCATTTAACCAAAACATTCCGCACAATAACCCTGCAAAGTATGGAATTTTCCATGAAGAAAAAACGTTGGCTTTAGGAGACTTTCCATACACTCTAAAATAAAATAAAAAACAGAAGAGAAAAGAGGAAGATCTAAGATAACTGGAAAGCTGGAAAACCCACCGTTTCACTTCCTGAAACAAGACCATACCGTCAGTACTTGATCTAAAGAAACAGTACACAAGAAATTTACCTCAGTAAATGAGAGCTCGATATTGAAATGCTGGTGGCAACTGGTTCCAATATCCAAGGTTTTTCTTCGAGTTAGCTCTTCATGACTGCGTAGCCCAAAAAACCCTAACATAATATAACTCTGACATCCGTCAACTTTAGCTTCTGTACATGCTGAAGCTCACTAGCACTAATCACCTCCACATCCCCAACCTGTGTTCAAGACGGCGGGTTCCACATCCTGGCCTTCTCACTCTTCACAACCTCGAACTCGTTCAGCCTCATGAGCTTAAGAGGAGGCATTTTTCTTGTGAATTGGGCAACGGTCGCCAGTAACGAACCCTCTACTTTCATTGATGTGTCTCGATACTCTACTTGCTGGTAGCGCCGTAATACGGGTTCAAATATATCAAATGCACGCACTTCCTACTAACAACCTCCAGATTCTGGAACCTGTCGAACAACTTGCACCATGAATATTTATCCAAAAGGTCTGGGAGTATGCTCGAGGTGCTGTGTAGGTTCTTGTACGCAAGCGTCCATATCAGCGCACCATCGCGCTACTGGCCCTGCTTACTCGCCGCATTTGAGCTCCACCAACTGCTCAAGTTTCAAACCCTGTTACCCAGACTGCCTCATTAGCTTCTCCTGCACTGGTAAGTTAACTCACCGTGCTTCTTCTGGGACCCTATCGAAGTACACATTCTCTTTTCCTGTTATAAAGAAAAGGAACTTTAAAGAACCGTATCAACCAACAGAAGTTTTTTTCGAAACTCTCTGTATTCAATTTACACATGCTTTTTATTCCTTACTGGCGTTAAACTCAACATCTGCAAGACAACCAAAAAAAAAGAAAAATAAATAAATAAATAAATAAAGACCAAAGAAGTGAACATGCGGGGTTACACAGCAAGCAAACCATTTATGCAAGGTGGTGGAACTAACAAACAGAAAACCCTCCACGTGCTCCGAAAAACCCAGGAGTTAATGCTACCACCCTTCCAGAGACCAAGGCTGAAGATTCTTCGAGCCAAAATGACACTACAATAAAGCCAAACAACAAAGTTGCTTCTGAGCATCATAGCTCCATTGCACTTGCACTCACAAACCAACAACAGAAAGGATATCGATCAGCACAACCCCGGACCCACACGCAGTAGCCGCGTTCAAAATTTCCGATTACAGCCTTAAAAACCTTGCTAACTATCGGTGGATGTGCATCACCAACTCCAAATCGACCACAACTCACGAACCTAGTCTGTGGGTATGAGCACAACAAGGAACGTTTTGAGCAAAAACTCCGTTAAAATCACCAAGTTGAGCTTCAAACCCTATATCCAAATACATGAAATTCAACCCAACAATGAGCTGCATTCTTCAAACTCACTGCATCTTGGTTTCGAGCCGACAGTGAGCTTCAAAATCACAGAAACACAACTACAAGCTAAGAAATCCCACCAACTTGTGTCCACAAGAGTCTAAACCCTTGTGATTTCCACTGCTACTAAATCTTGCAAAAACGTGGTAGATTCAAATCCAGCTGAGGTTGATCACAGGAGCTCGTGACCCCGAATCTCCAACTCTCAGCACTCCAGCTCCTCCACCCCACCTCACGGACTCCTCGGCCGACACCCATGGGTCAACGGAGCGTTGGTGAAGCGAAACTTCGGTCCGTGACACGTGTCTTAATTCTGTTTAAGGAATTTAGGGGTTCTTTCGAGGCTTCCAGCTCGGATTGTTTGAATGGGGGATAGTGTGACGTGGCAAAGACTTGGGGTGATGGTGGGGGTGGTCGAGCTATTTCTAGAGCTTTTGCTTGTTGTCTTTCGAGGGGTTATATTTTTATCTATTTGTATTTAATTTCATATATAAATATAAAAATGGGGAATTGTTAAATTGTCCCAAGTATTTATTAAATTGATCCACTCATCCTAACCATTGTCACAAAATTCCCACCTATTGGATCTACATTGGTCAAAAACTAATGATAAAATGGTTGGATCCTCTACCAATGATGATGTGTGGGTTGATTTAGTGAATGCATTGGTCAATTTAACAATTCCCTATTTATTTATTTATTAATATATATATTCATATAAATGCACACTTCTTTATTTATTATTGTTGTTGATTTGTTTGTGACTTTCTGTTTGTGAAGGTTGATGTTGATTGTGAGAAGTTTTTGTGTTGGTAGACAGGTGCTAATGTTGACAGCAGTATTTAAAAACTATGTATAATGCATTACAGTACATGAAGTGTATATATGTAGTGACATTTGGTGTTTGAACTCTAATGTTTGATCTAGAATTTGGTACATGTTTTCTGTATGATACTAATGTGTTCAAGTCCAATTATTGAATGTAGCTAGTTTGATATTGGTGTATTTAATATGTATGATCCAAAAATAATTTAGGGCAGTGTGTTTATTAAGTTTTAAATTCTGTTCAATGGAAAACATTCTTGTGTAAGATGATTATGAAATAGTCTGTATAAGTCATCTGCAACTTCAAAATACTTTTTATTTTTTTGGCAATTGTATTTGGGTTTCTAATGTTGCAAAAATGAAGTATTCAAAGTTCTGGGATATGACTGTAGTTTATTGTGAACCATGTGTGATTGTTTGTTCTTTGTTTTATTTTTTAAAATTTTTTGTGCATCCATATATATATATATATATATATATGTAAAAGGATAAAAGAGTACAATGTCATTAATATGGATTGAGCAATATGATAATTTAGTTGTGTGAAAAAATTAATTATTGTTTAATTTTTTTTCTTTTATAAATTATTGTATTAAAAAAATTACAAGTAATTTACAATTGCAAGCTGCAGAGGTTTTGAATTGTTAGATATTTTCTTTTTAGTTTGTTAGAATTAGAATATTGTGCAAAAAGAATTATATTTGTATTATTTGTCTATGCACAATATTAATATCTCACATGATTTGAAGACTTTTCATTGTAGTGGAAATTTTCCACTCCATCATATGCTATGAAGTGGTTGTTGCTACAAACTAATAAATTTTATGACGATTTTTTGACTGTACATTATGTCAAGCCAAACATGATTTAGAAAGTTGCATCAATGCTTGCTTGTTCTGTGAAATATATTATATATTGTATTATCATTACATGCAAAAATATTGATGTGTATATCAAAGTAAATTTGATGTTTTCTATATATATATATATATATATATATATAATGTTTTAAAACCTTTATATAATTACTAATGTAATCATGTGTGTGGAGAAAAAAATACAAACTATCTCTTAAATTCATTGATTTTTTATTTTATTTTATTTTATTTTTTCCTTATATTTTCTAGAATGGATCTATTGTCAATCACTAATATAGTATTTTACTAATGCCCACCTTGTTATTGTTTTATTTCATGCTGTAGTACTCTAACTCTTTTCTGACATTTTATGTGATTCTTATGAAATATTATTTTATTTTATTTTATTTCTAGTTATTTTTTAATAGAAGAAAATTTTAATATTTACAAAATTATTATGAACATTGTAAATGAATTGTAGATTATATGTTGCAATGAATCTAGAATTATCTCCAAAAACTCAGTTACTAAGACTAACTATATTAAATATTTTTGTAAAAGAATAATTATATTCAAATAAAAAAAATAAAAGTTTATATATAAAAGGCACTTAATAACCATAGTTATGTAAACTTTAACAATAACGATTTTCTATTTGGCTTCTTTTTTGAAAGAAAAACACTTTGTCAATTATTTCAACATAAAACTAATTATTCTATCATATAAAAAATAATGTCAAACACTTCAAGAAGAAAAAATATTGTTACAGCATAAAAAAGCTGATTAACTGCTCAAATATTTGAGTGCATTTGTTTTCTAAGACATCAGATGTTTTTTCACATTAAAATATGGAACCTTGACTTTTTATGTAAAAACCAAGATCAATCACATATACATAGTAATGACACGTTTGCAAAAAGAATTGATTGTTATTATTATTATTATTATTATCACCATTAAATCAAACTTAAAATTAATGAATAAGGTTTATTTAAAAACGTTCATATTTTACAAAGGAACTGCATTCAAATTTATATTTAATATGATTTCTATTGTTAATGCCTACTATTGGTTGCAAGAAAGCTTTAAAAAGAAGATCAAGAAAATCATTCAAATATTCCCATGAAAACTTTGTATGTGTATATATATATATATATATATTTATACAACCATGATAATAATTATTAACTTTTTATAAATTTTTCATCAAATGCAACATTGTAAATTTGTTATTCTTGTGAAACTTGAGCATTACTAATTTATATTGTAAAACATCATATAAACTTACATAATATAGAAAAGAGTCTACTTTTTAAAGAAATATTAATATACTTGTTTCTATAATAATAAAAAATTATATAAACTAAGTAACATGTATATCTATATGATTCTTAGAATCTTCTTATAATCACTAAAAAAAATTAAATAAAAATATATAGACAAAAAAATTTAAATATATTTTTTATAAGGATTTTTTAAAAAATATATTGAATAAAAATAGTATTTTTTTTTATCTGAATAACCTTTTTTTATTATCTTCACATCATATCACTTAAGAATGCATATAATAATGTTATTTTATACAAAAAATCAATCAAAAATGGAACATTGCATTGATTTTTGTTTTTTTTAATCATATGAAATTTAAAAATATTATTTTGAAACATTCAAAAATATGTCTAAATAATGTTATAGATGCAAAAATATTGAATCTTTGATAAAAAAAATTCATGCATATATTTTATAATGTAGTAGTAATATATATATATATATATATATATATATATATATACTAGATGAAATAATAATAAAATATTCAAAAATATGTATAATCTTTTTTCTATTATTTAATATATTAAAAATAAATAATTCTAAAAATTAACCAAAATTCTAAGAACCAACTTTATTCTATAGTATACAACTAATAGATTTTGATTTTGAATAATTTATTAGTTTTTTATATAATTTTATTAATTAAAAAAATCCAAATGGTTGGCCAAGCCAAATGATCATATATGATTAGGAAATGCAATACAAGGCTATGTAGCTACTACAATACAAGCAACTAATCTAGATTGTTGGTCTTTTGCAATGATAATTTTCATCTTGCTTTTAATACGCCAATTATGATAATTAATTTTTTTTATAATTAATATTTATTATGTAAAAAAAATATAATTAAATATAATAATTATTATTTATTTTTTTTATAGAATATTACTTGTAGAATAAGCTAATTATTTCACATACATATAAAAAAATTACCTTGAAAATTAAGACATGTATCTTGCAATGCCAATGGGTGTTAGAAGTTCTATAAAATATTGCCACATAGCTCTTAGTTAGATAGTATATATACAGGCAAGAATATAGCCTTTTTTACTCTTATCAACATCTTTTTAATCTTTAGTTTTATTTTAAGACTTTTGGTCTTTTTAACTTTGGTCAATATTCTTATCTTTTTTTAGAAGTAAGTAGATTATTCCACTTCTATTGTTGTATTTTAAAGATTGTAGACTATTCACATTTAAACAAATAATTTAGTTTTCTAACACTAATTTTTTCTTTAATGAAAGCGGATCACCTTTCTTAGTAGAAATTTTAATTTCATATTAGAAGTTATGAATTACCCTCTTTTAATTTAAGTTTTGAATTTTTTTTAAGTTGTCTATAGAAGGAAAAATTATAGATGCTACTCTTGATGGAAGTGAAAACAGTTTTGAAACTATTGCAGATCTTCAAGAGCTTGTCAACAGTCATAGGGTAGAAATTTTATGCAAGACTAATGCTAACTCTAGAAGCACTATTTTTATTTTTATAGAAGAAGTCTAGAGTCTATGCCAAGAAGTTGTGTAGTTGAGAGAAGCAAGTAGATTAGCCTCACAATCAAATTCAAAAAGTCTCACTTCTATAAGGACAAAAGAGGCAAGAATTAATATGCTTGAAAATCTTGATAGTACAAGATTAAAATTTTGAATATTTTTATAATAAGTTAAGCTCTATTTAAGACTGCATCCTTTTCAATATTCTAATGGATTTACTCAAATTGGATTCAAAGGCGTACTTCTATCTGGAAGTATTCTCTGTTTGTTTGTATCCTTGATAACAAAAAATTCATGACTATTCTATGATTTGAATTCATTCTTGAAAGTATTTATAGCTACATTTGAAGAAAGTGATTGCAAAAGAGTAGCAAAGACAAAGCTCGTATTGCTATTACAAAAATCACGTTCAACTATCATATATGCTGCTGAATTCTAAAATCTTCTTTGCGACAAGGATTGGAATGATAAAACCCTTATCAATCAGTTTCAATATGAATTGAAAAATAATGTCAAAGATTTATTGTTGATAATTCTAAGAGTAGATTCATTAGAGCAATTTATTACTCAAGCCATTGCATACAACAATCAATTCTTTAAAAGATGCTAAAGACAAAGATTTGGTTGAAAAATTATAAATCAAGTCATAGCAACACCTTCTAATTTTTCAGAAGCTTACTTGTCTAAATCAAAGCCTATGCAAATTGATATGAA